CCAGAAAATAGATAAAAATTGTGTTTGATGGGTGATAATGGTCATTGTTACCCTTCTCATCCATGTAAATACTGACCATTATCAAAACCACTGTACATGCCACTCATCATCCTTTTAATTTACTTGAAGGAAAATTTTCTAGGGGAAATTTTTGTACGAAAGATTACAAAATGTTTTTCTTATTACAGCACTGGAAAATATGGAACTCTGTCATTGTTCTGTTTCCAATGCGATGGGATTTTTTTACCACAATACTGCATGTTATTACTTTATTAATCATCCTTCTTTCCTTCCCTAGAACATCTATTTTTTTCCTATAAACGTGCCTCACAAGCTTTCATTCTGCAATCCACACAGCTGGTCATCTTTCTTTTTTGCTGTGTCTAAAAGCAGCCATATGTCATCAGCAACCCTCTCATGTATATTGAACTTCCTTAGCACATCAGCTTGTCTCTTTGAATGTGTTACCTGATGTCTTCAAAGTGGCAAAATACAGAAAAGTGGGTCCTCCTTTGTTCATCAGACCAGCAAGAGTAAGGAAATGTTAGCATCAATGGTTGAAAACCACTACAATGTGTCAGGCAGGATGTATGTGCATAACAGAGAAGGTTATTAATTCTAGGAAAGCTAGATCGAAGAGGTAGGCTTTAATGAAAATTTGAAAAGCTTTTGGTTCAGGAGATACCACTAATTTTCTGAAAACACATTTAGTAATCCTGGTTCTGCAGTTCTGCATGTGAAAACCCCTCTTCTCCTTCACTAATTTGTATGTTATTATATTGTTAAGGTATAGAAAAGGTTGTGATGTGATGAGATGAGTGATAAGTAGGTAGGATCACAATTTAAATGGAGCCCCTACCAATGCATAGTTGGTCAGGGGAATATGCTCATGGCACTTTCTGTTGCTGTTGAATTTTGAAACTTCTGAAGGCAAGTGGTTTCTCTCTTCCTAAATGAGTTGCAGTCATCACATAGAATCAGAAGTGCATCCATTCTGGAGTTCAGTCCTGTGTCTGAAGCATGGCCTTATCCTCTGTAGATAGAGAACTAGGTGTTTTGTGATGCTGGTATTTGATGATCTAGTAGCACTAAAGAGATCATGAAATACCCATGGTTACCTTGGCAATAAAGCAATGAGATATGCTCAGTAGAATGGGAATTTTTAGAGGTGGTGAGGTTTTCAAAGCTCTTTCCTTTTTTATGAACATTAACTCATTTGTTACTAAGATTCATTTTTAAACAGACAATTAAGTAATGCTTTTAATAGGCTGAGAAAAGTTAAAGGATGTCAGTGTATTCTTTAAACCTGCCATTTGTAACAGTCCATAGCATTTTGTACTCGTTATGCTTTTTAAGGGTGAATAATTTAGATATTTTTGCCTCGTGATCAGAAACTCCCTTCCAACTTCCTTTCTCCGAATTCAGCTTTCTAAATAAGAAAATAAAGTAATCTTACATGAAATTTTATAATCTGTATCTTAGCCTGAATAAAATTATTACCTACGTATACACAAACTCCCAAGTCTAAAGCCAAATCCAACTATGCTGGGCATAGATGTCACTTAAACACCACTGCTTTTTATAATTTAATATATTGGAAGCAAATTGACAATATTTATACTGAAAAAATACTCTAAAATCACACAGGTCAACACTAGAGCCATCATGCAACAGCTTAAAATCTTGCCTTGACATTTATGACACATTTGGCAGGGGTTTTGGTCATGAAATCACGATCCTTAGATGTTCAGAGAAAACAGAGCTCCGTCATACCCTTCTCCAGTGCATACCTGTGTATTAAGGCTGTAATGACACTAGCCTGCAAGAGATTTGAAGAGCAGGGAAAGCTGTGGCCTGTACCTTTAATTCATGTCAGCTACTTCCATGCTGATGAAGTGATCTATCATCATTGCTCCCATACTAGAGCACGTACTCCTAAAAGAAAGTTTAGCCACTGCAGGGGTGACTGGACTAACATCGCCTGGCATCCAGCAGTGTACAGACTAAACTATAGTTTCTAGTTAGAGAATATGGAAACTGACAACAAATTATTACTTGTGGTCTTTTTCCAGTTTTCAAGTGCAAACATACCAAAGTTTATTTTAAATCTGAGCCAGTCAGACATTTAGTAATATAGATCAAAGAAGAAATGAAGGCCTCCCATGCTTATTATTTCAATATGATGTCTGTTCTAATAAAGTGTAAGAATGCCTGTGATAGACTAACTAGTAGGAATTTTCTGGTTCTGTAGTTTAGCCTTAAATATATACATATATTTGTAAATTAATCAGAAACATATTGTCGTGGTTTCAGTTCCTCGGAAAGCTGATTGTTTTCAATCCTTTCTTTAATCTTAGAAATATGGTGGCAGTCTGCCAGCACACTTTCAGATAAACAGTCCACTTCACATTTAAAAGCCATAGAATCACTGATGTTGAAGGAGGATGGGGGGGGGAATCAACAGAAAATACTACCGGTTCTCTCTCTTCTCCAAAATGTA